CTCAGGGAGGAGGTGATGTCAGAGTCAGGGGCTCAGGGAGGAGGTGATGTCAGAGGGAGTCAGGGGCTCAGGGAGGAGGTGATGTCAATGGAAGTCAGTATCTCAGCTGTCTCTACAAAACCTCAGATGAGGATCAAGTTTAGGATCAGATCTGCCAGTCTGATATTGGTCACATGTTGGTAAGTCATTTGTGGACCACTTAGCAGACCACTAAAGTTTAAGTTCTTTAATTGGGCATATTTCAGCCCAATTAAAGAAACATTTAACAACGGGGGGCAGCAGTGGACCAGCAGCTCTGGTACCAATGAAGAGTGGGCTTTAGTATGGAGCTATGACGTAGTTAATTTAAAGAAAGACAGCGGACTGACCGGTGGTCCTGGTCACTGCACTGGACTTCTTCAGTCAGCCACAACAAGACAACGCAAATAAAGTCTTTTTCTCCTTTTATTATGAAATAGTGCTACAATGTACATTGCATTTCCTCTCCTGACTGTCCACTGTCTGCTCTGGTGCGTGTGAGAGAGAGAGAGAGAGAGAGAAAGAGAGAGAGAGAGACGCAGTGTGAAACATTGTCCATCGTCACAGTGGTGTAAGTCCTGTTTTTCTGTGTTAAAATCTGGTTCTTCTTTAAAAGCTTCTCTGCACAAAAATATATCTAAGACGCAGTAGAAATGTGGAACCACTGGATCAGATGGACAGTTACTCACAGCGTATGTGACGCAGCAACAGAAACCAACCCATGGAGGCGACAACAAGGACTGGAAATAAAAATAAGATCTTAAAAACAAGAAGATAAAAGCCAAATGAGGTAAACAACAAAGTTAAAAATGAAGTCTGTTCAGTGACATGGTCAGCTCCTTCAAAAGGCCAAAAAGCCAGATTGTTGGTGGTGGTGTGTGTGTGCGTTTGTGGAGGTGTGAACAGAAAAACCTAGGCAGGACGTTAATGGGCGAGCCAGGAGAGCCAATGGCAGGTAGGAAGGAGGGAGGGAGAGCCAATCAGAATGCTTGCTGCGCAGGGTTGTAGTTGAAGGTGGAGGGAACGTGAGGGCGCTCTTCTAGTTTGTCATACTCCAAATGAAACTCCTGCATTAGAGGGGAGAGCAGGAGTAAGGCAGTCATTATTGAATTAATGTTTCTGAGATCATAAGAAGTAGAAGGAATTTAACACATCTAAATACACATACACATATATAGGTTATTTATATTTATTTTAGCACATTCCAACAATGAACAATATCAACTCAAAGCAACTTCTAAATCCAATATTAAACCTGACTCCACTTCTGTGTCTATTCAGTGATTATGTCCAGACCGACTGGTCAGATTAAATCTGTTCTCTGATTAAAACACAAAGGTCACTGAGGTCAACTGTGGACCAGTTCTGGTCTGTGCTGCTTTATTCCCTCATCCCAGGAACGGGATGTTTCTAAGGTGGATCAAGTCGAGTGATGATGTAGATCTGAGTCCAACAGACTCTAGGAGTGGACTTCTTAGTGTGTTCACTCCGTGGTCCGTGGTCTCCACCTGGTCCATTAAAGGAAGAACATCTGCTACAGATGCATCAGAGGAGCTGCTCTCTTTAGTTAGTTTGCCCCACTCCCCACTCTTAGAAATTTGTAAATTTCCACCATTACACCTTTGTCAAATCTGTCTGTGTGTCTCTCTCAGATATATTGAAGTACATCCACAGGCATGTTGATACTATCAGACAAACCTGCACTGGCCGTGGTTTTTGCTCGTTTCATCATAACTTCCTGTTTCGGCTGTCTTTTTTCAGTGATAAATGTCTTACAACCGAAAACTAAAAATGTACTTCTGGACAAAAATTTTCAATGGGCGAAAATTCGCATCCCTAACGTGTATTTATATAAATACATAAATATATATATATATATAAATATATATATAAAATATATATATATATATACATAATTATATATATACACATAAATATATATATATGCATATATATACATAAATATATATATGCACACACACACATATACACATATATACATACATACACATACTTATATATATATATATATATATATACACACATATATATATATATATATACATACATACATACATGTGCAGAGGAGGGACAGTGGAGACATTGGTAGAAGAATGTTAGAGATGGAGCTACCAGGTAGGAGAAAGAGAGGAAGGTCAAAGAGGAGATATATGGATGCAGTGAGGGAGGACATGCAGATAGTTGGAGTCAGAGGAGGAGATGGAAAACAATGATTCACTGGAGCAACTCCTGAAAAAGGGAAAAGTCGGAGGAAGAAGAAGAATATACATATACATACATATATAAAGAAACACACACACGTTTACCTTGGCCACTTTCCTCCAGTTGAGGCAGTCGAAAAAGTAGTAGGTCCCTCTCTCGTAGGCGTTGGTCTTCAGCGTAGGCTCCATTCCCGGCGCCCTGGTGATCCAAACCCGCTCTTCTTTATGGTATCGCCAGTCCCTGTTGAAGCTGGACACGTGTACAAACTCAGGAATTTGAAGAAACATTTGTTGCTGTGTCTGCTTAAATAAAAAAACTAGAACCCGAGTCGTGGTAAACCCATGAACAAAGTGCACAACACAGTACAATGTCTGTGGAAAGTACATGCAGGAAGAAGTAAACTTATGTGAGTTTCAGTGAGTGTGTTTGTGTTTTCTTACAGTTCGACAGCAGCCAGCAGTTGTAGTAAATCTCCTCCACTCATGTAGTAGAGGTAGAACAGCAGGTCCTCACCGTACCGAGACAACTTGATGGCTGCCAACTGTCAACCACGGGTCAATCACACACAGAGCAGATGTAAATCACTGTCAGGAAAGTTAGAGTTCACCCTGGTGTTGTTCAGGGGAACTACAGCTTTGACCATTGTGAAACTTTTAAATGTTTATTTCTAAACCAGGAGACGTTCTATGTCCTCTAGGAGGCACTGATGTCTTTCTCTAACATTGTACAAACACTGACACATGCTGTGTTAGCTTCAGTTAGCTGGTGTTAGCTCGTATGCTAGTAAATGTGCTGCAGTAGGAGTGTGAATTCAGCAGTGGGAGGAGCCAATCAATGCTTCATCCAGAGTAAACTGATCAGGTCTGAGCCCCAGTGTTTTTCTATGTAAACTTACCTTGTCCCTTATGTGGATGTTGGTTAAATACTCTGACGGAACATGAAAGTCTGAAGAAACAGCAGACAAAAAGATTTGAAACCATGTTAAATCTGACCTGTGAGTAAATACAGTGGACCCCTGAGATACCAGCTTCCAGAAACACCACCAACTCCATGTTACTGGTCTACAACTACTGCCAGATTTTTCTCCTGATACCAGGAAATATCTAGCTACCAACCGAGGGCTGGCATCCATTCAGTGGTACGACATGGGGGAAGTTTTCTTACTTCTTCTTATTATTACTTTATATTATCAATATATTTGCTTATATCTATTTTTTTTATGTTTTGATAAGAGGACAAATTAATAGTATATTTCTGGGTGGCTGGACAAAATAATTGATTTTTAGTTCTTTTTAATGGGGAAAATTCCATCTAGATATGAGATATGAACGGATTAGACTGGTATCTCGGTGGTCCACTGTATGTATTTTTACTAAAATACCAAGACAGAACCCTGATGTGAAGATACTGAGTTTAAGTGGGTTGACAAATGCACATATCTGCTACTGATAAGGACAGAAACTTACCAATATCTTGTGGTCGACACGGTGCCGACGCCCACGGAGACGCAAACTTAGGATAAAGATTCCTGAAATACAGAGACATTGACATTTACTTCCAAGAGCAGCTTCCAATGAGAAAGCTAACTGTAACGGTCCTGGTTCAGACAACTGGTGTATCGGGTGCACAAAAGATAAGGGTTCATAGTCAAAATGTCTTCAAATGTTCAATGTAGCTGTATTTGTACTGTACTGTATTATTACTCTTCGGTGAATGTAGTACGCCACTACGATCTGTCATTTTTATGGATTTGTTTTTTATCATACTCTGGTGAGTTGAGGTTGAGACCCAGCGTGGTAAGATCCGAGCCCAGCGCCAAGTGGACCATACCAGGGTCCGTCTCTGCGGCACGAATGAATGTCAGCAAGCCGATCATTCCAAACTGGTCAGTGACCATGCCGACAGGGATGTTGGTCACACGGCCTGGAGAAGAGGTGCAGAAAAAGGAATTGGTGGAATTAAGAGAAAAGTATTTGTAAGATCTGGGTCAGGCTGTAGACTCCCTACCATCAGGAAGCACCTGGATCCCTTTTTTCTGCTGGTTGTTGTTGCTGGGCACAGAACTTTTGTCCCCAGGGAACTTTGGACCATCTGAGTTTGAGGTTGGTTTTCCTGATGAATTCAGATTCTGCTGATGCAAACAGTAAAGATTCAAAAGATTTAACCACAGAAGGAACAATCACAGTGAGACTTGGACAGAAAGTCACCGTTTTGCTGTCTTCGCTAGTGCTGGTGGGGTCTTTTGTTTGGTAGTTTGGCCCTGGGAGCGCTGGGAAATCTTCGTTATGAATAGAGAAGTCCTGCGACTGTTCACTCGACGGCTTGGTCACCATTCCAACTGGGAATAAAATGCACAGCAGTTACAGCGAGTATTACTAGGTAAAACCCAGTGGCAAAACACAACCCTGGTTCTCACCATAAGGAGCCCGGCCGGCCAGCGGGTTGGGCAGTGGGGTGGGATTTGAGCTGCCATCCTTCCGAGTCCTATCTGCTAACGCTGGGAAATCTGACAGGTCCAGACCTGTCACATTTTCACTGCCGTCTGGACAAAAACACACATACATTTCAGTTTAAAAATAAACCAGTGGACAAAGTCAAACATGAGGAGGACTGGGGGTTTAAATAGAGTAAGAAGAACAGCGTACCTGTTCCATTGAAGATGTTGTTGGATAAGGAGTTACTTAAGTTGAAGCCAGGATTCCTGTTTACACCAAAACCTGACATACTGACAAATAAAAAAAAACAAAAAGACTGTTGTTGGTTCTACTGTTGAGTCCAACTTCAGAGAATCACAACCCACTGGAAATGAATGAATGAGTCAAAGAGAAAGAAGGAGCAGTTGAAGGACACACAGTGACAGCAGACCTCATCAGTATGTCACTGTTAGTGCTTCACATCAAGTCATTGAGGTTGACTTGCAGTGCTTAGTGGTTAAAGAAGTGGACTTGAGTCTAGAAGGTTTCAGATTCAAGTCCACCAGCTGCCAAGTTACCACTGAGGTGCTCTGAGCAAAGCAATGCCCCCACACACTGCTCCTCAGGCACTTAAAGCTGCCCCCTGCAGACTGTCACAATGACAAATATGTCCCTTCACTTGGTAAAGTCAGTGATGAAAGCAGCACAGGTCCATGTCGATTCATTCACCCCCCCGCCCCCCCCAACCAGACTCCTCCCAACATATGAGCTTAGAACTACACCTGCCTGGAGGCTGCATCTACAACATAGCCACCATCTCCAACTGAACTTCATCTCCAAACTGCTTAACTGTCCCTCTGACCTAATCATGTCTAATCCTGTACATCCTGAAGATCTCAGCATCTTCGTCTCCTCCACCTCCAACTCAGTCTTTTGTGTATTAGACAGAGACACCGTCCCCAGACCAAACATCATAGCAAGTCTGACTACAGTCTTTACACAGAATGTCAAGTCTTTGACCACCGTTAGCAACACTTCTGCACGCTGTGGTAACAGTTAGTGTGTGTTGTTGTCAGGACAGTCAGAGAGCTCTCTGTTACCTGTTAATGGTAAACGGCTGCCGGCTCTGTTGTTGTTTGGGCATTCCAATGATGCTGGGCGACGACCGGCTGGGACTCCCCATGCTGCTGCCACTCCTCACGCCACCTCCTCCAACCCTCTCACCTCCAATTCCTCCCGACTGACCTGTTGGACCTCCGACCTGCTGGCTGTGGTTAAGAACTCCCCGGTTGCTCATTGGCAGAATCCCCCTGGGGGTGGGGAGGGGAGGAGAGAGAGAGACTTATTTAGATTTGACCTCGGCTCTACACGTAGATCTGCTGATGCAGCCATGAGGTGTGGATGCTGAAAACAATTACTTTCTTACATTTTATTCTCCTGAAACCAAAAATGCACTACTGGCCATTTTCAGCCGAAGATTTTCGGTGTCCGAATATTTGGTGCATCTCTAATTATTTTTTTTTTTAAACCACTGTTGTACTGTACCAAATAAAGACACAGCTTACTTTACAGTTTTCCTGTGTTCAGAACCTGATACTCCATCACTGTTGCAGAGATTGCAGTGCATGTATGGAGCAAGCAGTATTACAGTTAGGGATGGGGGCGATTAGATCCAGTATCGGCAGCCAATCTCAATGTAATTAGCAGATCGAACCGATCCGATCCAACCTGCAAAGAATTTCGTTCCACGAACCATCTCTGAGCTCCAGCCTTGTCTGAATCTGACAGATGGATGACTGTAAACTGTGGAATCACTTTCCTGAACAGAACGTGGTTCAACAAGATCGTGAGGCACACCGCAGTTCAGGAAATCCACTTCACATTTTGCACCCAGATAGCAGGCTGCAAAGAAATATGCCCGCTGTGAGGACGTGAATGCGCCATGGGACAGAAAGACATAAAGAGCCGCCGGAAGTCACTTCTGGAGTCGTTCCAAAAGTAAGGTAAACTCCCAACAGATGAAGTACATAGCAACCTCCACTGCAGCAGACTTTATTCCAGCCGTGACCGTTTGAAGACTCCTGCTGGCTGAGAAGAGCAGCGCCGACAGCAAACTAAAAACACTTGCACTTAATAAAATGTTTAATTTCAAACCCATACAGTTACATATTGTGTTATGGATGGGATTCTTCCTGTTAACACGGTTTTCTGTATTTCTGACTTTTCTGACCTTATACTAACCTCAAGGTGCCTTTTGAGAAATACATGCATAGAATAATAATATTAAAGCAATAGTATCTGAATAGTATCAGTATCGGCCGATATCCAAATCCAAAATATCGAGATCAGAAGTGAAAAAATGTGGATAGGTGCATCCATAATTACAGTACTGCAGTACTGTACAGTATCGGCAGGGTGTGCTCAGTTTGTTTTAAGGTCGCGCTGGTCTAAAAAGCTGAATGTTTGAGCTGTGAGCAGGAACACCATCCCAATTTAAAGCAGGTAATGTAGTTCAAGGACTCTAATTTGTTAGTGTGTTATAGGGTTTTTTAATTATTATTAAAACCGCACTCAATTAAATAGTCCTAAGAAAAAAAAAAGAATTGTAACAAGATGCTAACAGACAGAAAGTGTTCATCTTCAATAGATAAACAGTCTGTGGAAATGTGTGAGGCATTCAGGGAACTCATCTTCCAGATAGTGGAAGCAATGCTTTTAATGAACGACATACTGCTGAAATATAACATAACACACACACACAATATAATACCAAAGTATTTCACACTTATAATACAAAATATATTCACAGGTGAATTCATCAAATATGGTTGCTAGTTGGTGAGACACCTTTTTCTGACTGACTGCTTCAAAAGAACTTCCTGTCAGGTAAGACAGCTGCAGCGTGTGCTCCAGCCATAGTAAAGTAAAGCACAGGGGTGCACACATTCAGTAACGGTTTGGGCCCTTAGACTCTAGACCTCTCTTAAATTTAGCATGTGTGGCACCAACTGGACAGATCAGTAAGAAAAGTGTTCCACTAATCAAAAGCAGTCTCTCACTAATTAACTAACTAACTCTACTAGCTTGGAAGCACTGCCTGGTAAACACCTAAAAAAAACTTGATTAACACATAGACGGTTACTGCCAGTAAACAAAAACTGAACAAGAAAAACCTATGATAACGATGGTAAACATTTATCACCATCATGTTGTACCACAGAAACAAAGTTTTCTGTTTTGTTGATCTGGCAGACTTGGTCTGTGGTGTGTGCGTGTTTGTGGTACCTGCTGGGTGAGGGGGGCGTGTGCAGTGAGCCAGAGTTAGCTGAACTGGTGTGACTGGAGAGCTGGCTGGCAGACTGGTTTAGCCCACTTCGACTTAACTGAGGAGCTGCACTGCTGTTCAGACCACGCATGGGAAATCCCAAAGCACCTGCAACACAGAAGAAGTGTGAAGTGTCTCTGCATGTACATACAACGTTACTTCCAACCAGTGTTGCTAAATTTGTGTCTTACTCTGCGGACCATATAAGCTGGCTCCCAGCTGTGACAGCTGACCCGTTGAAGTAGCAGAAGAAGACACCAACATCTGTTAAAAATCACATTGATCAATATACGCTGAGTGCTGAATAAACTAAAAAACAGTTAAATTATTTTTGCAGGGGGCATTTTGGTATCAACATGAGTGAGACTGATCACTGAGCTGAGGCCCAGCTAGGCAAGGAATGTGTTGTATACACTTCACACCTGTATGATCAGGGTTGTATCACAGTTTGTCACTTCAACACTTTAGGTCTTTTTGGCATGAGGGTCTCACCAGTCTTTCAGTCAGTTATCAGAAAAAGTAAGCCATATCATATATATATATAGAAATATAGAAAACAAACATACATCTTTGTCTGAGCGGTGCGGGGGGAACATGGACTGTTGGCTGTAGTAGAGGCTGGAATCATCAGCAAAGTCACTGTCCACCACCCCCTCCATGAACTTCTTCCTGTTAGCACCAAACATGCCTCGTGTCACCTGGTGACAGGTGAAGAAGAAGAACAGTGAGTTACTCCTTTACTGAGGGTTACTATAAGGGTTATGTCAATTCCTGTATCTACTAGTTCACCAATGGTTTGGTTGCTAAAGTACAGTCTTCACTTGTCCAGCATTCAGAAGTTCAGACGCATCATTTGCCCAATCATTCATCAGAATCAGATAGATATCACCATGATCGTCTCTGACCAGTAACCTCCCAGTCAACAACAACAAACCCAATCTGACACTGAAATATCCAATGTCCAAAAGAAACGTCATCAATTAGTCTTATTTATTACAAAACAATCAATAATAATAATGCACATATTTTTGTTTTGTTGTTCTGTGGTTTGTTGCACTGAAGTGGGAAATGTTTCAAAAATCTGAATCATCCAAAGAACAGCAATATTTCCTATCTATCTATATCTATTTCCATATGTAGAAACATAAAATAACATTAACACCAGATGAGGTGAATGTTGTGAATATATATTGTATGTATGAATAATAGACAGTATCTGAAGACAATGCAACAGTTGTTACTAATCTTAATGGACAATCAAACATTTACTGAAGCGATAAGGTTTTTTCTCTATTTTATTTACTGACATTTTATTCACATATTTGTTCCTATGCAATGTAAATTATGTAAACAGGATTGCTTATTATTTCAAGAGTTCGTTCTCCACGAAAAAAACGGGAACAATTTATATTAAAGTACAACGCCCACAGCATTTTTTGTGAAACTTTTCGTAAGTAAACTGAATGTGAGATTGTGGAAAAATGATCAACTAAACGAAATGCGTCTTTGACCAATGTTCTACACCAGAAAGTGGAAAACTCCTAACTCGGAACACCCCATCATCCATCACATAAATCCTATTTTATACCGCATTACTTTACATTATATTATCCAACTATATTGTATTTTTTCCATCATTGTTACTGTCAACATTACCTCCGTGTGCTTTACTCTAGATAAAATTGTTAAACAGTTTTTCGTAAACACAGTTTTCTACATGATGTTTCCTTTCTCACCTTTGTAATAACTGCTGTTTTGTTTCAAACCCCCGCTTTCTGTTCAGCAGTCTCAAGATGCTAAGGCTAGTAGCTCCGTAGGCTAAAATAGACAGCTAAGCTAAATTATTAACATTTTTAAGACATTACATTACAGCGAAAGGTACTTTAATCACATTTAACATAATTCCCATGCTCTTTGTTTGAGTGGTTAGTCGTAAATACGTAACCGCTACGTGCAACTGCTTGTGTAGTAGCTAACCAATGTCAGCTAAGAGACAGCGCTTGAGCTAAAGCTAATTTGGTTGGGATACGTTGGGTTGTTAGCGCGAGAGCTAACGCTAGCTGTCGATGGAGCTTACTCGGCTGCCGACCACACGGTTAAGTCGCTACGTAGGCAGCAGTAGGCGAAATTGACGTGCATTGACCGGTACCTAAACTGACTTCATTTGCAGTGGTGCCAACGGGCAATTAAGTGGAAAACAGAGGGTAGTTCCGACTCTGTTTTGTCCAGCGTTTGGGGCCTGCTGCGCTAGCCTTGATCACTTCCCTTCACCATCAACAGTAAGGAGAAGAGCCACGCTGGTGCGTTTTAAATCACTTTTTCACTGTAGCTCTTTTTGACTGGGCCCCAAAGTGACCGAAACAAACACGGGGTAACTGTACCAAACTTGAACTTGTATCGACTCTGAACATGAATTTAAGAGATACAAATGAGCTCACCGCATCAATCTCTCTTCCCCGCTACAATCCAAGATGGCCGACATGTGTTCGTCAATCACAGAGGATGCTGGGAAACCTTTCCTCCGTGACCTTAAGACCCGGACAGTAGTGTCTACGTGATTCAGTTGGAGTCTACTAAACTCTATTGGGGATAGGCTTAATGTAGCCCTACTGTAACCCTGGGTTTCCACCAACTCTCACAGGCTTTGTTCTTTCTTTACTATTTTGCACCATACCCTAATGTAATGATAGCCATGTTCCGTGCTTAATGTTCCGGATTTTCTTTTCTTTTAAAAATTAGTTATTACCCACTGCTATGTTTGTACAGAGATAATATAAAACCAATGGCTATACTATATTTACTCCCATTTATGTAATGATTCCATCAATCTCCCTACTGGATGTTTGCGCAATTGTTGTTATTACTGCATTGTTCATTGTTCAGATTACTGGCACAAATACCACGAACATATATCATTTATCCTCAACAAGGCAGATGAAGCAAAATGTTTTCCTCTAATATATATATATGTCATTGACAAACGAATTCATGATGCTCATGGCCTTGGAGGAAATGCCGGTGTCAGGGTGGACCTGCTCCAGGACCTTGTACACATAGATGGCGTAGCTCTCCTTCCTAGTCCTTCTCCTCATTTTGCCGCTCTTGCTGGTGTTCTTGGCACAGCTTTCTTGGAGCCCTTCTTGGGGGCAGTTTTATTTTGGTCAGGCATTGTCAGTCCAACAGAGTCGGTCGACACAGAGTGGATGAGATGAGCAGAGTTCGGTTACTTTGAAATCTCAGGGATTTAAATATTACTGCGCCACCTCTCTTTTACCATTGGACAAATCTGGTCTACGTCAGAGGAAAGTGCGGCATTAACGAACCAATTATTGGACTGCTGTTAAAAAAGGAGGGAGTTTTGAAAAAGGTTCATTACAGATGAATGTACGGTGTGAGGACGAAAAAGATGTTTTTTTTTAAATACTGTATTAAAACATGAATCAATAAAAAAGCCATTAATTCATTTTAATTCCTAAATCCTTTCAATTATTAAGTAGTTACATTTGGCTGAATTAACTTTCAACTATAAAATGTACTTTATTCAGGAAGGAAAGTGAACTACTTGTCATTGTGACAAAGCACACCACTGCACACACCCAAATGTGACCTCTGTTTTTAACCCATCACCACAGCCAGCGAGGGGCAGCTTTAAGTGGCCAGGGGAGCAGTGTGTGGGGACAGTGCCTTGCTCAGAGCACCTCAGTGGTAACTTGGCAGCTGGTGGACTCGAACCTGAAACCTTTCAGACCCGTCTGCTTCCTTAACCACTAAGCCACCGCTGCCTCATTTAAATGTATAGGACTAATATACATGTAGTAATACTGTGCAATGTAAATATATGTGGATATTTTACTCAAAGTCAAGTCAACTGTGTTTGTTCCCCCTAAATTAACAAAAACCCAAATGGATTTTAAAGTTCTGACATTGTATTAGAATTTCCTCTGCACTAGCAGCTGAGGAGAATGGAGTGTTTCATGTGTGTGAAATGTTACTATGGCAACACCATAAAATCATTTCAACACATCAGGCGGCACAGAAAAGTTGGCAACCGCAGCAAAGTACATGAACACCAAACATCTACTCTCTCACACTAAGGAGAGGTTTTTTTCTCCTCCTCTAATGGTATTTACTTTAATTATTTACCAAGGAAGACAAAAAAGCCCTAAAATGTTTCAAAGTTATGAAAATATACTTATATTTGTAATTTTTATTATGAATTGATCTGATGAATTGTACCATGCGACTATCCCTTCCATGAAAGTACTAGCAAAGGTATAATCAGCTAATCTCAACATTGAACATGTACTTACTTGGTTTTGTAGTATTGCCCATCCTTAACAGCAGATGAAGAGATAGTACTGGTTAGTGGCAATGACCACTAACTGCCCCAAGAAACAGGTGTGGCCAAACTTTTCACATTTCCAACAAACTAAATATAATTTCAAAAAATAATTTGAATTGTTTTGAGGTTTGTTTTCTGAGGAACTCTTTTACCCACTGTAACAGAGTATTACTGTATCTGGGGGAGTTTTCACTATTTCACCAGTACACCTTCTCCAAATATTTGTTGTACTTTAAACATAAATGTATTCACCATGAGTACGAACATCAGCTAACAGACAGTTCTGCTCTACTTTGTCTTGTGCACCTCACCACCCTCCTGTGGTCAATGACTTTCCCCACAGGCTGATGTCCTCTGGTGGAGATCTTAATGCAGACGTTAAAGGTTTTAAATATCAGGTGTCAGGGAGCTGCTAGAGATGGAAAAAGAAAAAAGAAAATAAATACAAAAGCCCTGAAAACCATCCTGATATAATGAACGTAAACATTTACCAAAGAAAATCACCAAAAGAAATATGAACAAACACTGAGCTCAGCTCCACAGGAACGTGTGTGCGTGTGTGTGTGTGTGTGAGAGAGAGAGAATAAAGTTCAAAATTCAGTTTAGATTATAACATTATCTATTTCCGGTTTGATTAAACTAATTATTTTGTGTCGGTTTGGTCTTAATGGTACATCGTTACATATAACTTAAGATGGTATGATAATTAAATTAAAAAATAAATAACATTGCCGCCGCACAACTCCATATTTCCACACGATGGCAGCCTTGCTTCACCAAACACTGATGACTGACTCAAACGGAAAAAGAAAAACGTCTATTTGGTTTCATTTGTCATAAATAATGACACACCGTGTCCATCTTCGTGTCTAGTCCTGACCAACCGCTCCCCACCCCACCCCACCCCCCATTCCCGACACTAACAAAGATGCATCATGGGCCAATGTGTCGGCTGCAGAAAACATTAGGAGATAAGAAACAGGAAGGATGGGGGGGGGGGGGGGGAGGTGGAATTTGGGTTTTGAAACTAATTATATTCATTAGTTCAGTTGGAGCCAGTGATGAGAACATCCCTGATGTTTTCTGGAGTCAAAGTCTGTCTCACCGTGAGACAACTGTGGAAAGATTGTAGCAACAGAGACAGAATTAGTTAGTTAGTTAGTTAGTTAGTTAGTTAGTTAGTTAGTTAGTTAGTCAGTCTTTGTTTAAAGGGCCATCACATATTTTTCCCTTGCTGTGTGTCAGTGAAGCTGCAGACAGTCACACAGAGGTGGAGGTGATGACAGGCAGGCACACCGTCACTACACTGTCCTTCCTGCAGGTGACGCTGTGTATTTCACACACTCAGGTATGCCTGTTCTTCCAGAACTTCCAGGTATTTTAAAACCAAAGTCACATATCTGTTGTCACACTCAAGTTGACAACGGTGTCAAAAATATTATGGCTCTTTTTTTTTTTCAATTTGGACACCAGTGTTCCTGCAAGACGGCCCTGACCTCTTGACCCCACCTGAGAAACTGCTCAAGGTCAAAAAAACGGATGAGATCTATCAGTCACAGCACCACCAACAGGACAGATGATGTCAAGGCTGCAGAGAGACATATACAAGCTACCAGCTTTAAACACACCAATCTAACACACACACACACACAGCTGGAGTTTAGCTCCGCCTCCTTGTCTGATGTAATCCAAACCTTACTTCATATAGAGTGGATCAGGAGAACCTGATCTCCTCAGTCTGGACCCTGGAGTGGACAGACCAGCGTCAGACAGTCTGGTGTGGAAAGACTGCACTACAGACCAAAGCAGACGTTTGTTGAAATATTCCTCCTCCTCCTTCACCTCCTCCTCCTTCACCTCCTCCTCCTTCAGACTCCAGACTATACTTTTCAAACTTTGTGATTTTATCTCACAGACACGAAAGATCATGTTTGGTTCAGACTTACCTCAACGACACAGTCCACGAGGGGCAGCAGTGGACCAGCAGTGGTCTGCCAATGTCCATCTGCACTAAAGTCACTGGGAAAGAGAGAGAGAGAGAGAGAGAGAGAGAGTTGATGTGTGTATTCAGTTATGTAGGACCTTCTCCATGATAGGCAAAGTATTTTAACACTTCACCACCACAGCTGCCAATAAAATCCCTTGTGTACTCAAATACAAATACTGCTACAGTATACTAGTCATTTATTGGTTCATAGTTGGTTCATAGTTGATTTGTGGTTGGTTCATAGTTGGTTCATAGTTGATTTGTGGTTGGTTCGTGGTTGGTTCGTGGTTGGTTCGTGGTTGGTTCGTGGTTGGTTCGTGGTTGGTTCGTGGTTGGTTCGTGGTTGGTTCGTGGTTGGTTCGTGGTTGGTTCGTGGTTGGTTCGTGGTTGGTTCGTGGTTGGTTCGTGGTTGGTTCGTGGTTGGTTCGTGGTATAGTTGGTTCATAGT